CTTTGTTTATACTGGTTCTTGAAATAATATGCAGGAAGATAAGTTGGAGCTGCAGATGTGCCAATGCATATATCTGATAGTCGAGCATCCAATGACGGTGTCTCTATGGCCTGTATAAGCACTTAATTATGTTAAATCTCAGGTTATCTCCATTTTTTTGGTCCTATGATTGATTAATAAAATAATTAGAAATATTTTCAAGTTTTCTGCGGGAATAACAAAGGTACGGACAATATTTAATCGTATTACAATCAAACAACACAATGGTTTTCCAGTCAAATTTAAAGCAGTCTACTGTTCAATAAATCTTGTGAAATCCTAGTAAGATTGTTGCTGAGCATATTGACAAGGTTTGTCACAGCAAAGTCCAAGAAGATACATTAAAATGTATGCATGCATATAAGAATTACATTTAAATGAGCATATCGAAAAGACTCTATTTTTAAATACAATATTCTAAAATTTAAAAAATTTTAAGTACTGTTGCAGGCTCTTTATAAATACACTTAATTTTATTACTCCTAAAAAAAATTTATTGTTTTTCCCCATCTTTTATTTCACTAACTTCCCATAAAATTATAATATTATTGAAAAATGAAATACTTTGACTATATTTAACTATAAAGAGTGGGAGAGCCAACTCACTCTCTAAATTAAAATATTAATTTAAAGAGTTTCTTAGAGCATAATTTTAAAAAAACTGGCTCTATTTTATAGAGAGTATCTTATGTTTAAAGAGTTTTTAAAAGCATTTATATGAATGAAGATATTTAATGAAAATAATATTTCTCTGAAGTATTTATCACAAAGATTATTTGATTATTTGACCTACCACACTGTCATATGCAAACAAATAAAGGGTTGTGGGATACAAGTCGAGTCATAACGTTTGACTAAAATTTTTAATATGATTAAGAATATAAGAATCAAAAAAGTTTTATTCATACAGTTGAGACCTAGAATATGCATTTGTTCTAGTTCCTTATGACTTGATAATACCTACGTTGATCTAGTTTGTCTATCCTTATTGACTCTTTAGTATCATGTTTAAATACTCGTGTAAAGAGAGTAGTATTGTCAATTTTTTGATTTTTGCAAATTCTTATTTTATCCCCTTGGGATTAGGTTGGATGTTCATCTCCATTGTATTAGTTCTTTCATTAAAAAAATAAAATAAAATAAAATAATTAAAAAAAAATCCTCTCAATCTATGAGCTAAATAGCAGTGTGAATTTATCGTTTTATAGTTAATTTATAACCCTTTAAATAAGCTCATACTCTAGTTTGTAAATTAAGGAGTTAACACTTCTAATTATTTCTATGTCAATTACTTTAAAGTTTTCTAACACGTACACATACTAATACGCATACACATGCACATGCACATGCACACGGATATATCAGAAATTAACGACCGAAAAATAATGTTGCACTTTTCTCTAGTAAAAATATAAATTTTTTGGTTTTGGGGGAAATAAATAATGAGGAAAAGGTATACCTGATATGTGGAGAAAACTCTTGGCTGCATATTTTTGATATCAAAGGTTGGAATTACTACATTAGTCAAGGTATCATGCAATCGAGTCTTTCCTAGTAACTCCCTTATAATTTTGTGAAGGTATTCTCCGCCGTACTTGGGTCCAAATAAAAATGTAAATAGTCGTCCAACCCAGCCAAATAAGCCACTGCAATTGAAACCAATGCAAACAATATTCATCGGTAAAACAAGAAGGTATGTACAAGAAATGTAAATGCATTTCATAGTTGTAAAGTTAACTTATACCGCTTTTGAGGAAAAATTTTCGGGGAATTTTCAAGATAAAACGGTTTAACATCTTTAGCTGCAAATAGTGGACGATTATTTTCATCTGGAGCAGTTAACATGGCTGTTAATAGACCTCCTGTGCTTGTTCCTGCAATTACATCAAAGTAATCTGCAAGTCTTGCATCTTCCCCATCAATCTCCTAGCAAGGGAAAAAAAATGCATTTTTGGTACCAATTTGGTCAAGTGATACATCAATCTATCTATCAGTATTTGACAAAGAGAGTTTCTTCTTTTTGTGAGAAGGAAATATTAAAAGATATCTGATTCTTCAAATTGAAATTTTTATTATTATTTAAACACCACCTGGGACTAGGTGGGGATTTGGCCCATAATCCTTCCTATAGATTAATAAAATGGAAATATAATATGGAGATAACGTGTACTCCAGCTTTACAGGAAGGGAATGGAAAATCAAAATGAAAATATTACGTACCTGAAGTTGAGATTCAAGAAACTCAAGAATAATTCCAGGAATAATTCCTTTAATACCACCTCCATCAATGCTCAGAATTGTAATGAGATTTCCATAAGTTGGAGGCTGAATCTGAATCGATGATGAACGCCTCATCATAATATATAAAAATGAATGACTGTGTTATAGAAATTACTTCAAGAAAATAAGAACACTCGTAATATTTGCTATCTATGTTCAAAACATTGTCTACATAGGAGATATATTTATAGTTCTCAGGGAAAGAACTTTCCTATGTAGTGGGACAAATTCTGCTTTGAAAAAGTAAGAACTTTTATAAGCTGCAATACTCGTCAAAGACTATGCATATCAACATAAACCAAGGCATGGAAATTTTCCACGACTAATTTAACAGTTTTAATTTCATATTAATATTGGGTTTGTGGGTATATAACTATTTAAGCACCAATCCTTTGTGAGACGATTTTAATGTTGATTTGTGTTAACTATGTTCGTAAGAAATTATATTAGAGCAGACAATTTTTTGGATGACATTGTTGTTGATCATGAACCACTTTAAAATAAAAATAAAAAATAAATTGTCTCCTTTTTAACAACTTAAATTTTTAGCTGGGATAATTCGACTTTGTACAGAAATTAAAAAAAAAAAAAACAAGAGTTTAAATATTATCACTGTTCATTTTCAAAAAGTTGTGCACATGTACGCATTTATCTAACCTATATGCTCGAGAAATTTGTTCCATTTCAAATAGTTTATGCATTTTGATAGAGTGGTATAACAACGTCATAATCAAACTAATATGAGATATTTTTAGCAAAAGACTAATTCCATGATATTAAAAATGTGAGCTGTAGAGGAGTAGAGGAGATCTCTTCCAATGATTGACTTTTCTTGTAGACTTATAATTTGACTACTTCTCTTTTCTAAATGATTGTTACTTAACACCTAATTTTTAACAATTAAAATTTTAAATAATAATATAAGTCAAAGTTAATAATGAATTTTAATCATATATTTCATGAATTTCACAACTTTTCAAACATAATTTTTATCAACTTTTATCGAAATCTATTAAAATTCTTATTTTAATTTCCACCAAAAAGAGGCTCAATGTAGTTATAAATATATAATTAATATTTTCTCAGGTCTTCATTTTTTTTTCCAATTTAATACCCACCTTTTTCTGAAAAAAAGAGAGAAGTGGTTTCTTGGTTTTATATTTTTACACAATAACATTTAACTGGCTGACGGACTCATAATTTTTTGGTTCGTGGCTCAGTTGTCAATGCTTACCACCGACAAGAAATTGTGCTATTCGTCTTTTTAATAGAGCAACACCCTATTTACTTGTTCAAGATTTCCAAAGTCAACAACACTTTACTTCTAAAAAGAAATCAAGACCCCAACTTTTAAGAGGAAAAGTCCGTATTTAAATTCTTGTATTTTTTTTTAATCTTTTTTATTTTTATTTTTTTTTCATTTGTAAGAAGTTAACTTTCAGTTACTCAACGCGTTAATTGGCAGAGAAAATATACGCACATAAACACATGCTGCAGTTATAAAACCTCGAAGAATATTATCATAGTGTAAACAGTAATATCGAAGAATTATTATTTGGGTAAACTCGAGTAAGTTGCACTTTAGCAATTTATAGTATGTTTGAGGATTAAAGTTAACTTACAGAAAGTTTAAGAATCATGATTTAAATCTTTAGGATGATGGGATCATGTCTTGTAATGAAAATAGTGGGTTTTGTGAAATTAAGCTTGAGATGGGCCATAAATGA